CACCCCCCAATGTCCAGTCGCCCCCCACATCCATGAGGTCCAAAAAAGACGGTTTGCGAGAGATTCCAAAATGGCTCTGCCATTCACTTATTGAGAAAAAACACATTGTTTAGTTGTGTTTTTGTTATGGTTTTAATGTGATTTATTTGTTCTTCAAAATATGTCACAACTTTCTTCCACTCAACCTGCGCCCTCCACGTCTCCCAAGCTGCGCCCAGTTGGGCCTCCCAGCGGGGTGCCGCCATGGTGACCGGTGGAAGCTCCAAGGACGGGGACCGGGACGGGTGGGAAGAGTTGGTCGTGTTTTTTGAAAAATACTCGATTTATCAGTGTTTCATTGTTCACCATGCTCTTCTTTTTGGGGGGCACTTGATTGATTTCGATTGCTTGGGCCTTTTTCTCATGAAACCTGAGAGCTCCACATGTGTTGTTCCACAATTCCAGCAGTTTCGTCGTTTTTTTCTCAAACTCAAAAAAATGTGATTTATTGTGAAAAAATGGCGATTGCCATGTCACTGGCCTTTCTTCCGGTAGCTCCAAGGACTGGACGGACGGATTTTTGGACGACCTGTGGTGGTTTTTTGGGCTCCTTTGGAAGACCAGAAGAGTTGTTTGTTTTGAAAAACTTGAAGATTTATCTTCACCAGGTTGCTTTTTTGGGGGGGCACTTGATTGATCTTGATTGCTTTGCTTTCTTTCCATGAATCAGAGGGTTCTATACATGTGTCGGTTCTTCCACATATCTTCCACATCTGGCTGGAGCAATAGGTTGTTGATGGTTGCCAAGCGCCCAGTCTTTGCATCCGTCTGCCAGGGCCACAAAAAGGTCACTCCACACCATCACTCCCCAAGTCCGTCTTCAAGCGATCGATCCGCTTCGCACGCGGACGGGGAGCACACGGTGCGTCGAGTGAAAACATGTGAAAACCAATGGCGATGTGCCGAAACCTCGAGGGGATTTGCCCATTTTCCCGTCACCATGACTTGTTCATGACATGATTTGGCCAAATCCAACGTCAATGGATCATGTTTAAACCCGATCAACCACGAGGATTGCTCAGAGCCGCCACGAAAAACAAGCTCCACACTCCGCACCTGTTGGATGCTCCAACCGCCTGGCCCAACGCGGCGCTCAGGATGCCACCTTCGGCCCCAGCTCTACACCCTTCACCTTTGGCCTCGCGCCGCGCTGCGCACCTCGCCCTTTGAGCCGCAAAACGGTCGGGTCGGTGGATCGGATGGGTACCGGACCGGCACAGCTAGTGAAACCTGGCGATGGAAATCCCCAAAACCTGGTGAATTTCGGAAGATCCCTTTGTTTTTTAGGGGGGATGGTGTTTGGTCTAGACAGGGGATTTTGAACTCCGAAATCGGTTCGATTCGTTCAAGACGGACTCGTGATAATATCTTGTGACCTTTTCTGGCTCCAGCGCTTCTCGAAACTACTTGGAGTGCCATTCAAGATGGAGTGGTTCTCGGCCCTGTCTTGGGTCGTGTGCGCCCTGTGTTTGCTCCTCTGTGGTCTTGGCATTCTCGTGATGCTTTGGGGAGTGCTGATGAGGATGTGCGAAGATTGGAGCAAATCAGCATACACTCCATACACTCTTGTCTTTGCTGATGAAGAGGTGAGATTGACAAAGACATGGGGTGTTTGTTTCAGTTTGCTTCAGAGACCATGTCATACGTTGGGAAACCGGGAGTAGTATGTATGCCTGTCAGACCTGATCATGATCAAAGTCAACCAAGCCTGCGTATGCCCTGCAGGCCACCAAACAAGAAGAAGATCTCATCCATGAGCGCACCCGTCAGCAAGCAATATGGGAGGGGCGCCTGGTGCTGGTGCTTCCCCTGGTGCCTTTGCTGGCAGCTCCGTGGACCAGCTGCACCGGGGGAATGCCCATCTGGGCCTACGGCCTCTACATCCCTTTCCTCTTGAAAGCGAAAGTCACTGAATCTTGCACGAGTTATTGTCCGCTGTTTGGGATAAAGCTCGTGTCGTTGGCAACTGTTCAATCTGTTTGCATGGAAAATCACGTCTCACCTTCTCATCAATTTTGTGCAGAAATCCCCTGGTGAAAACAATGTGCTTTCTAATGTTTTCCCCTTTGTTGTTGACCAAGGAAGGGTTGGTGATGCACCGATTGAAGATCACCGACCACATGTGGTCTTTGGGTTTCTGGCTTTGGGGCCCTTTGGAGCACCTCGACCCTTGGCCAACCAGAGCCGGCCTCGTGTCTGGCATATACCTCTTTTGCTAGTTTTTGGCGGTGTCCTCTTATACCGAGATGTGTGGGTTTTGTAGGGAAAGCGAATTGGATTGGTCGGATTTCTTGTTGACCGCAGTTTTTCACCACGAAGGATGTCTTTACCGATGGGGCCATGCCCTGGCAGGCCGCCGCCTGCGACCCCGAAGCAACCCATCGCTTCGTGGCGTCTTTCGAAGGTGCCGGGCCCTCCCAGCTCTTTCAGCCGCTGGCGCAATGGCTGGGCCTGCCAGGCCTCTTGGCCTTGACCTTCCTTTTTGCCACGGCCGTGCAGCAGGCGCGCTTCAGCACAGGTTCCCCGGACAATGCCGCAGCCCTCGCGGCGGACGTGGTGGGCCTCCACGGCCTGGCCACCTACTTCGAGAAGCGCGACGGGAGCGGAAGGGCGAGCAACGTCGTTGTGTACAAAGTGCTGGCAGAAAATCTGCCGCAGCTCTTTTTACAAACGGCCTTTTTAAGCGCCGCCTTCGCCCGTTTCGACGGGTGGGGGCGGCTCAAGATCATGGTGTCGCTGGGCTTGGGCCTGATCAGCGCCACGCTCAAACTATCTCAGATGGCCATGGCAATGATCTCGATCATGTGGCGAAGACCGGAGAGGCGAGGATCAGTCTTGCTCGGCCTTTTGGTCTTTGCACTGCCAGGATTCCTCATGGTGGCGTGGGTGGTGGCCCGCATCATCATGGCCCACAAATGCCCCAGTCACCAGTGGAACCTGGCCACTGGGTGTGTTTGAGAAGGCATCAAGTGATCTTCCGGAAGAAAGAGCCGCTCCGACGAACCGTTGATTGGGACATGAAGCAAAACCAAGTTGCTCACGCCCCACCTGAAGACAGAACTATCCAAAACCCATCAAAATGACCATGCTAATCTAATCAATAGGGTTTGACTTTGGGTGCCACCCTCCCAGTCCACACCATCCAAACCAACCCCTTCTCGAACACGCCACGCACCACGCGCCATCCACCACGCGCCACGGTTGAGCGCTCTCCGAGGCTCTTCGCGGGAGATTTGCAACGCTTGCCTTCTTCCGCTCGGATCCAACATCCCCCCACGTCGAGGCAGAGCTGCGCTTGCGCCCGGGCGGCATTGAAGTGGTGAAGTGGGCCATGGGCAGCCCAAATGAAAGCAGCTCTATGAGAGCGTTGTTTATGGGTGAAAGTGCTGGAATGACATTATTACCAAACAAACAAGTTGATATAGCACACCGCCGGTACTCAGATGGAAGTGAAAAAATGTTTCTGTTGCAAGACCGTTTCCTCTACACAAAGTGTTTTTTTTCCATTGCCACGCGTTGTTCTCTTCAGAGTCATGCGTGTCAGCAGGTAGAAGGTTTAAGTCGAGGAGCTTCAAGTGTGAAGTTCAATCTGTGCGGTTTTTTCGTTTGTAGGAGCTGCTTGTTTTGGTCGCCTCTAGAGTTCTCGAAGGGGGTCGGAGCATCGGTGGAGATGATTGCTACTCTGGGTTATTCGAAAGATTGGTAGAACAAGAGCCACTTAAGACGGCTGTTCTAGCCCTTTTTCATGTTGCCCTTGTGTCATTGTTCATTTGTACAAAACCGCAGGCAGAACTACCAAACCACATTCCACGGTGATTTCCGTTTGCTCGGCATGGACGCGGCTTTTCGCGCGGGGCTGCCTCCTTCGTTGCTCTTCACTCTACAGAGCCAATTGATCCCAAGGTTTGGTGGTTGCAACCGACAGAGCGAAACAGCTTCGACTTTGGCCGGTCGACGACAGCACGGAGACGTCCAATATCGGTTTCAGAAACGTTGGACATGTTTCGACCTCAAAAATCTGAGAGAGTTCAAAGCAGGTCCCAAGTCCCAACAAAACGGATACTATTTCCTCGTGAGTTGAAACATGTTGATTCACGACCAACCAGTCAAATGTCCTTCCTTTCTCGTTGTTTTATCTCACCTCCCAGCCACAAACTGACCAACGAATTGTTTGGATCCACTTCCTCATCCGTTATTTCACCTCCCAGCCACAGGCTAACTGACCGGATCCACTTCGCATCCGGAGCTTTGCAGCGGACGTCGCGTGACGCTGCCGCTGCGCCGCGGAGCCACGCGCGGACACGCGAAAGGTCTTAGCAAGTCTCCGCCATCGTCGACCAAGTCGACCGTTTTGAGGAGATGTCCGCCTTGAACGATCCCGGAGGCGATGAGGCCAACTGCCCGAGGACATCCTTTGAACCGGCTGAGGAAAAAGAGAGCGACGCCCCCAACACTCAGCGGGCGCGGTGTGCTGAAGCGCGTTCTGTGCGTTCCGTGCGTTCTGCGAACGTGCACGGTGTGCTGCATGATGTGGCAAAGACGGAGTTGGCTTCGTGGAAAGTGAACAACTGGCCAACTCCGACGAGATGCGTCGAGTTCCTTCCGGTTCGTTCCGTCGCACCTCGGTTCCACCGGCGAGGCGGCGCTGCGGACGTACGGCTGGGCCCTGGGGAAGACGCGGGTCTTTCTCAAGCAGGAGCGAGTCGAGAGCCGGAGCCGCGAGCTGAGGGGTTCGACAAACAGAAAGGAGTTTTCCAAGGGATTGACGACCTATGGTGCAAAATGAAGGGTCCCATTCTTCTACGCTCACCTTGGGATTCAGTTTGCAGGAGCCACAGCTGACCTGTCTGGAGTTTCTTTGCCTTTCTCCCTTGTAGCACTGACTAGCACCTTTTTCCTTGCACGATGTTTTTGCAGCAAAAACCCACGGTTTTGTCAAACGTGATTCCACAGATCGACATTGAATCTGACTCGTGTACCGTCGTTCGAAAAGCACCGATCCGAACTCGGGGTGCGACCACGTGTCGATGAACCTTTCGCGTCGACACGATCCTCTGATCAGATCGACCACGTGTGACCGGTGCCACAGGTGTTTGTTTCAATGTGTCTGCAACGAACAACGCAGAGGTCTAGCCATGTGTCCATGGTCCATGATCCCAAACAGCTTTTGAGATCCGCCAACAAGCAGTCAGATCAAATCCCAATCCATAGCCTTTGAGCCATGGTCAAAAAGATTTCAGCCTCACAGCCAAGTGGTGAAGTCCTGGTTCTGGAAGTCATATCAGAGATGACAAGCTGGGCGCTCAAGCACCAGATCAAGAAAAGAAAGCCTTAGGACGAGATCACTCGCAGCACTACAGTTGTAGAGATTATTGTGGGAGGCAACCAATTGCTAGCCAATGATGCAATGGTATTGGACGCTGGAATCGCTGAAGATACTGTTGTGAGTGTTGCCTTCAAACCAAACAAGGTGATATGCTCCAACAAAATTGCGATAGCCGGTCTTGGTGGCATCATTGACTCAGAACTTTTGCTGGTTGTCAAAATTCCCAATTGGGAATTTCGACAACCAGCAAAGTTCAGAGTCAACTAGTGAAAGTGCTTTCGAAGATTGCCACGCATTGGCCAAGTGGTGAAGTCATGGTTCTGGAAGTCATGTCAGAGATGAGGCTGGGCACTCAAGCACCAGATCAGTGACCCACAGGTTTTTTCGCATTAGGAAGAGTGCCTTTGAGAACTGCCGCTCTTTGCCGACATGGAACGAGGAACCACCCCGCGCGGTCAGGCGGCCGGGGTCAAGCGGCGCCGGGGTGGCGGAGGCGGCACTTCCGCCGGCGAAGTGAGCCACACAGGTCTGAGACAAGTGACGCATCTAGGTTTCGTGATGCCCGGTCTCCACCTGCCCCGTCTCCGTGCGGAGCAGGAGCCCTACGAAGCGCTGCGCCAGCACCGCGCCACGCTGCGCACGGCGGCCGCCACGCGGCTGCAGAGCATGGCACGCGGCCGGCGCCAGCGCCAGGCGGCGTTGCGGCGTCGTGTCCAGGGCGGGTCGCGGTTGGTTGGTCCAGAGTCCAGGACAGTCAGAAGTGCTGAGCTCGGAAGGTTGAAGGTTCTTTTGACAGTCTGGGACCGGCGGATGGTATCTTTGTGCTGCTCGTGGGTCTTTGCATCCCACCATCATTCCAAAAGAATTGGATGACTGCAAGCCTCAGCTACATGTAGCAACTTGCCGACTAGGTCACTGTCACTGAGTTTGTCGTCATTGGACAAGAACCACTTGTTTAGACTCCTGGGCACTCGCAGTGTGCGTCATGCGGAGCACATTGGTAGTGGATCAAGGGCATCATGCGTAATCGTCTAAACGTTCCAAGAGAGGTTGAGAGACCTGAACTAGGACCCTGTAGTGGTACATATGGGATGGGCTATAAGGCCGTTCAACCTCTCTTGGTCTAGTCTTCAGAGTGACGTTGGAATCTAAAGGGTTTGACATCCAAGGACTTGAAGAAGACGATTTGCCGAAGACCCTTCATTCACTGTACCGAGTCGGCATCGGCTTCGAGTCGGGCCCCTGGCCCGTGGCTTTGGGACCTGCAGCGCATGCACCACCCCAGCCACACAGTGACCACCAAAGCACCGCTTTGCCTTGCTGACACGTCGCCGTCGGTGCTTCACCAGGCGTTTCTGCTGATGTGCCGCGGCTTCTTACGACTGCAGGCGCGGCAGCGTGGCGTGCTGGCACGACAGCAGGTGCGCAGCTGGCGCCGCAACAAGGCGGCGGCAGCAGTTTCCATAGACTCCTTCGGTTGGAAGGGGAGGGAAGTCGCGGCTGGGCCATCCGGGAAAAAGACCGGCTGGGCATCCAATCAGTGATTATGACTGGCCAGAAGTCAAGAAAGTATGAGATCTCGCTCGGAGCTGAGAGTTCAGGGAGTTCAAAAGTGATGTTTTTTGTGTGTGGGGAATCCTAAGCTTCCTGAGACTTGGTGGCGAACCCTTGCATGGCTGTGGCCTGAGGTTCTTGCGGTTCTGTGGCCTGGGGAACTGAATAAGCTGTCGTCATCCCCCGTCGAACACCTGGAAGTGTTCCACTCTGCAGAGTGGTATTTTCTTTATGGAAACACGTCCCCATCGGGTCGACGAGCTTTGCACCCAACAGGGTTGCCGAGTGTAGAATCATCTTAAAACCAGACTCGGTTCCGAGCTTCAGTTTCTTTTTGGAAAGAACATGGCGTGTTGGTGAAAAAAGAATGAGGCAACCAACGAAACACCTTTCTCCTCTGTGGTGCGCTTTGGGCACCGTGTGTCGTTCTGACATGAACAAACCGCGGCAGGCGGCCACCCAGCTGGCGGCGCATCTCCGCACGTTTGGCGCCGTGGGTCGCTGGCGGCGCGTGCAGAGGGCCACCCTGCGGCTGCAGAGTTGGCAGAGAGGACACACGCAGAGAGCCCAGTATCAGGTGGACATCGCGGCCAGGGGAGTCCGGTGGAATCGCGGTTTTGGGCTCCATTGGAAGGGCCAGGGGAGTCCGGACGCGGTTTCAGGGGCATTTGTCCATGCCCAGATCTGTTGTTTTCTCCAACATGCTTCTGACTTTGCCAGTGACTCAACATAGGGAATCGATGTGGCAAAGTAGAGGCTTGCGGGAATCGAGCTGCGGCAGTTTCGTGACAACCGTGCACTGATTGAGGTTCATGTGAAAAGGGAGGGTAACGGGAGGCCCTTCGATCTGGAGGCGGTTTTCACGTGTTGATACGAGTTCAAAAAAGGTGTTACTAAAATGTTCCACTTGCCGACTTTTCAGTTTTGAAGCTCTTCTTAGGCTTCCATCTTTCGCACCTGTCTCACTCTCCACTCTCCTGGGCCTGTCTGACTGCCAAACCTTCTTCGCTCTCGCTGACTCCCACTAACCAAAACCCTGGTCCCTAAGTGGATGCTATGTTGGATACCCCCATTTTGAGGACAGCGATGCCGGAGTTCTATCATTAAAAGGGGATGGGAGGGCATGTGTGTGTGTGTGTTTTTTTTTTTTAAGGTGGAAGAGAGCATATATGATGTGATGTGGCTTGACGCTTCGTAGACATTTTTGGCAAGGCAGATGAATGCAGGACAAAGTAACGTAGCAAAGGATGGCCTCTACGCTTGTGAGGACATGGGGTGCAACACAAGTGGGCAGTATACTTTCGAGTGTATTTCGAAGGATAAAAGGCTTGCAAAGCATGTTCTGAACTCATGGTTGACAACCAGTGAAGTTCCAAAAGTAGCAGCCACCAACGGAAAAGACTTGCCTGGCAGGACTTGGAAGGATTACATGTCCCTTTACAAGGGCTGTTCACGTGAGCGTGACCTTCCGAGCAGGTTATGGTTATGCTCCGGTTTTCGGGGAGGTTTGCACCGACCAGCTGGTACCGATGGGTCTCGAATCTCTGGGGTAAACGCTGATCCGACCGGACGAACGGTGACCACTCCTAAACATTGTTTCAGGTCATCCAACCCTTGGCTTCCTGGCCCACCATGAATTTTATCGGCTGGTCATCCCGAATCAACTAAGGATTTTATACGACAAAAACCAGGTCAACCAGTTTTTTTCATGGTCTTGGAAGTCTAGGGCCAAGACACTTGAGGAACCGAGCTTGACGGAGTCCGCGCCGTCGCCAGGTGGAGGTCGCTCGTGTGCTGCGCCTGCAACGCTGGTGGCGCTCCACCAAGAAGCGGCGCCGCTTCGGGCAGCTGCAGCAGAGCGTCCGGAAGCTGCAGGCCGTGGCACGTGGCTGGCACGGCCGTGTCTTGGTGCACCACTCTCGGCAAGCGCGTGGAATCGGAGGAAGGGGGAGTTGGACGTATCCAACGATATGGCGCTGAAGGAAACATCCAAATAATCAGCGGTTTGATCAGTGGTCCAACTGAGTTCAAAGGTGGGAAAAGAGTTTGAGACAACTAGGTCACTGAACTGAGCAATTCCCGGTCAGTGAACTCAGCTCATGAAAGACTGGAAACTTGGTCATAGAAAAAAAGAAAAGGGCAAAATCAGGTTTTGACTGGCACCAGGTGGAGCTGTGTTACACTGGGACCGGGTTGAGTTGTTGCGATGTTGTTCAACCCTCAGAGAAGATGGACAGAACGACACACCTGTCATCACGAGAAGGATTCCTTGGTGGTGTCTCAGTAAACTTGTAGAACATCACTATCTTAGAGAAAGGCCACCCAACCATCACCCACTAAAACCCGGTTTACTAGGATATGCCCAAATTGTGCTCTAAGGTCCTTTGAACGTAGTCGAGACTGGCGATGTCAGTATACATGGTGTGCTGGATGGTCTACCTGGGAAACTTAACAATAATATAGCCATGGCCTCCAACCTAAATAGCAAAATTCACTAAACTCAAGGTCTTCCTACCCAACATAGCGAGTCGGGAAGTCGAAGGAGCATCGATATGCCCATGACCGACGCATCCCCAAGGCCGAGAGGCCACGGAGCGGCGCGTGCAGCGCTTCCGCTTGCGTCGAGCGGTCACCCGCGCCTTGGGGCGGTTTGGACGGTCGGTGTCGACGGTCCGTGCGACGGTCGGTGATGACACATTAACTAATGGCTTCTTGTTACTACTAGTAAGGCCAGGAGCCCCTAGTAGCTTCTTGCTCCTAGTAGTAAGGCACTTGTTACTAGTAGCGATGCACTTGTTCCTAGTAGCTTCTCTCCAAAGGTGATGACACCGGATTCGGATTCGAACCATGTTCGCTGTCTTAGGGGCTCGCATCGCTACGAACGGAGCGATCGGACGCTTCTTTCCGGGGCTCCTGGCGGTACTACGAACGGAGCAAGAAGCTACTAGTAACAAAGGTATACTACCTGGACTTGTACCATCCTGTCTGGGTGTCCGGAGATGAGGGGCAGTCCATTGGACAGACAGGATGGATCGCTTCGGTGGAGATGCTTCGGCACAGGATGTGTGTTTGGCTCCCCATAGGCCGCTTGTTGGTCTCACCAGTTTTGGGGCACATCTTGAACAAACAAAGGGTTCGGACATCACCGACATCACCTCTTTCTTTCCTCGGACTCAAGAGCAGTCTTCCTCGAAGCAAAGAACACTCCCGAACACAAGCTGGAATCACAGTGATTACCATGTGCCAGAGGTCGGCAATCTGCCTCACGAAGTCTGCACCTTGGACCGTCAGCGCAGATGTTCACCGACCACCGAAGCTCGCCACCACCTTGCCTCTCTCCCTCCCTTTGTTTTTCGCATCGACCCGTTGTTTTTCCCACTTCAGGCCTGGTCCGACTGCGGCGGCGGCATCAACGAGAGAAGGCCTTCCGTTGGAAGATGATGGCCCCTCGGAGTCAACGGGCTGAGCGCACGCGCGGGGCGGCCGATGTAGCGGCGGTCGGATGTGGGAGTGGCGGGTCGTGCGGGCCGTGGGTCGTGCCGTGGTGGTGTGTTTTTTGTGTGTTTTGTGTTCTCCTTCTTTTTGTGGGGTGGTGGGATGAGGTGGTGGACAAAGTGGGTGAAAGAACAAAAAAGTACCCAAGATGGAAAGGAGAATAGGTCAACAAATGGGTCTTGCAGCTCAACCTCCAAATGAATGTTGATGTTTGTGAAGCAGAACCCGGGCACCGAATGGATGAATGGATGACTGGAACCTGGTCAGTCACGAATGGACCGCCGCCCAAACCGTTCCGGGTTGGACTGGTGGAACCACTGCCTCCCCGAACTCTGGGACTGCATGGACTCTGCATGGGCAGAGCTTCCCCGAACTCCACATGGACTCTGCAGTGCTGCCATCACACCAATGGACTGGGTGCTGCCACACCTGTTCCCGGACCTCCCGTTGGGACCGGATCCGAAGAGATGGGGGAGCCGGTGCCGGTCCTGCGCCGGTCCTGCGCCTCGCGGTGATCCCAGGAGATGTATCGAAGAGTGCCCGATGCACCGACCGCGAAGAGCAAAGATGAAGCCTGGCGGCGGAGGGATTGGAGGGATGGAGAGAATGATGTGGGTCAACTCATTTCCTTTCTTTGTGGGTCAGCTCTCATCCAAGTCATGTTCTGTTCTTCTCCAGCGTGCCCGAACCAAAGGTACCTTGACATGGTGATGCATTGTGCCCAGGTTGACTGGGAAAGCTGAGAACTCCGTTCAAGAAACTTCCGTTGCCACAGACACTTTTGATATGCTTGGCAACCCCTTCCAATGATGTTAAGAAGTTAATTCAAAGAATTCCTGCGTCAATGAGAGTTCTATGGATTAGATATGATTAGATCTTGTAACTTTCCTCTTTGTACGAAAGACAACTCCTGCATTTGTTTGTATTCAAGTGTGCCTTGCCCTCGGCTCACTCTTTCGAAGGGCTAATCAATCATGGTGCCCCCGTGCGGGTCAAGTGCCGAGGGCAGCTGCGACATGGTGCAGCTCCTCACCCCAAGTCTTTTGCGAATTCAAACGGTTTCTTCGTTGGGAGCCAAACGTCTCATCGTTCTGCCAAACCGTCTCTTCGCTTCGCGCGCGTGCCTTCGCGCTTTCCAAGGATCTCATCAAAGAGGTCCTCTTCTTGCGGCAGCCGGGGCACCCAAAAGCTCCGCAGGAGTGAAATCGCTCGGGGCGGTCTCCGCGGTCTCGCCGAAGCTGCAGCCATCCGAAGGTCCAAAAAAGGTTCGAAAAGAACAAACCAGGACCCCCCCGCTGTTTGGGGCTTCTATTGATAGCCCCCTTAGATGTTAAGGGGTGTCCATTGACCACCGCCTGTGGTTCCTGGAACAACGCGTTTTTGTATGTTTTCGTGTCTCTTTTCCCCCCAAGCCCCTTGCCCATGTGGGACAGTCCCAGTGCCAGTGCACGGAAGAACTACCAGCGGCCCGGCTTCGTAGTGTTTTTGTGCCTTTCCAGAATCTTTGAGTGGGTTTCACTTTGTGCTGGCTCACAACTACTCTGCCAACATGCACAAAAGACATGTGCCAGTGCATAAATCGGTGGCGGTGAAATACGTGGACTAAGTCTGCCGTGAAATCAGACGGGATGGGCTGTGTCGTTCATGGGCAGCGATGGCAGCAGTGAAAGGCAATGCGTCATCTTTCAGATGGCAACGCCTAAGCCATGAAACACGTGTTACACGGTGACACAGATGGTGAAATAGACCGCAACGTACATCGGTGAAATAGACCGGCAGGAAAATAGACATCGGTGGGGTAAGAAATTTGGCGGTGAAATGTGGACATGGCCGCGGCGCTGTGGATAGTGACGAGTCGGTGGTGAAATGGGAAGGTGGAAGGTGAAGTAGGTGGATGCTACTAGGAACAAGAAGCTACTACAAACTCCTGGCATCGCTACGAACGGAGCGATCGGACGCTACTTTCCGGGGCTCCTGGCCTTACGACCAGGAAACAAGAGGACGCTACTAGTACTTGATTAAGTAGAAGGTGTAGGTGGATGCAGAACGGTCGTAGCTGTCCTTCTCAAACTCACAAATTGCCCTCTGACACCAGTGGACCGAACTCCCAGCCATTGGTTCGACGAACGGTCCTTAGTGGTTCCAGGGTTGGTGTTCTTTCCGCACCGGACAGTTTCTCTTTATCAAAGAGGGCCTTCGCCGTTTTTCTTTATCCAGGGTGAGTTTCCGCCCTTTTTGGCCCACGCGTTTGGTCCGCCGGGTCTTCGACCTGTCGCGGTTCCAAGTTCCGCCCTCCGACGAACACAGGCTTTGCGAAGAACGCGACACGGAGATCCAAGACCTCCAGGAGCGTCCACCGGCGGTTGCGGCGGTAAGCGGTAGAGTTGCAGCCTAAAGAACGGAGGACACTGCGGGACAACCAACCAGTTCTTCCAATAACATCCGATAATGAAACACGATCTGCCCCAAATTGGAAGTGTCCATGAAAACGGAGCATTGAGGATCATTCTCGTTGGCCATAAGGTAAATCGACAAGATCCGAAAACATGGCCAAAAGAACTTCTTTGGTTGCCATTGTTGGCTTTAAGGCCATGTTGATTGCAGGTGTTGAAAAGTCTTCCCAGCCCCAAAGTCTTAGAATCCCAAAAAGCCTCCGGTGCTCACCGAAGACCAATCTCGGGTGCGGAAAAATGCCGTCCTTCTTTCCTTCTGTACGCAGTCAAATCAAGTTCCTGACGTTCAGAACTGAAGGGAGTTCTTCTTCTCTCAGCAGGGCCTTTTGCAATTGTGTAGTTCTCTCTCTCTCTCTCTCGCTCTCTCTCTCTCTCTGTCTCTCTGTCTCTCTGTCTCTGTCTCTCTCTCTCTCTCTCTTTCTTTTTCTGACTGCACCTGGAAACCGTCGGGGTCAAGATTTCGCCCTGCCCATTGGAAATCAAGCCATGGCTTTGTGATTTCCACCACAGACGTGTCGTTATCGGGCCTGCACTTGTCCAATGCGATTCGTTGGGGCCAAGAACACGCAGCGTGGTGTTCAAACCAAAGACCGAACTCCACCAGTGCAATTGGGGGGTTTGCCTCCCCGAATTGCTTTGCAACTCGGAACCACTTCCCGAACAGTTCAGACCCTCCTCACTGTTGAGCGACCCTTTAGTCGAGAACCGCCAGGAGCGCAACGACACCTGGCGCCAGCAGATCGAGTACTTGAGGCGGAGACCGACGAACGCTGCGGTTTGGATCGGAGACCGGTTTGGTGCGGCTGCGGTGAGGTTGTTTGGATGATTTTTCACAAAAAAAACATCACATGGTCTGTAAAACAGATATCAAACAAAACATTGAACTTTGATTTAAAAAGACATGCCAAGACATTAGACATCACTCGTTTTGACATCCAAAGACCAAGACATCAGGTGGAAAAAAACCCTCCCTTCGCTCAGCTGGCGCGGTCAGCAGACGCTCGGAGGCATCGCATCTTCTGGCGTTTGCGGGATTGCCTCCGGCGCCCATGAACCGTCGGGGCCAGACTGACGTCAGTGGAGAGGATGTAGCGAAGATGTCAGACGTAGCAGTCGCATTGAAACCAGAAGCGAACGGTTCGGGTGTGTGTTCTCCGACCATTTTTGGGGCCCATGCTGCGTAAAAAGCAGGCAGGGGGGCACCTCTTGGCGGGCAAGCCCTTCATCTTGAAGCCAAGATCTTAGGACGATGGTGATATGTTCGGTGCAGATCTGTACAAGATCCTTTTGTCCCTCAAAGGTATGATCGATCACCCCGATGCCAAGACAGAATTGTTTCAAAGCACCCAAATTCTTCAAAACAAACATGGGGGTCGAACAAAGACCGGGTTATGGAAAATAGACTCTCTTTGGATCTCTTTGGAACCATGTAACTTGTAGTGTTTCAGAGAATCAACAACGGCTTCATGAGATCACGAAATGGTGGAGTTTGTTTTCTCACCACAACTGCTAGGTCCGTAGGTCCGTGATGCAAACTGGAGGGTTCCTGTGGTCCACGAATGGTGTGACACAAAGGAAACCCTCGTCCCGACCGGTCCGCCGGAGCTGCTCGTTGATTCCATCCCCAAAAATGCGCCAATTGTTCGCGAGACGTAGAGAAGCAAAGAACCTCTCGTGGCGTCCGGCGCTTCTGAGACCGCACCGCTCCACGTTTCAATCCCGGTCGACGTCGTCGTCGATTCGAAAAATGCGGGTCGTTCCTGGAAGTTCTTGTCATCCGGTGGACGTGAAAAAAGGGCGGCGAAACGGCGCATCGGTTGGATCCGATGAGCGGAGTTGAGACTTTCGGATTTTGAGGTCAGACATGGTCGAATAGGACTCTCACAGTCACAGCATAAGGGTGTTTGGTGCGGAATTCTCCAAAGAAGGGGTGCTTTTGGGGGATGAAAAGACGACCACAATGGTCATCCCCGAAAAATCCGTTTCCAACCCAGCACGTGCACGTCGCCCAGAGCCAGGACCGTCAAAGTGTTCTTTGTCCTTGTGACAATGAAAGAAACAGGGATATCCTCTGAAACAGCAGGGATATCCTTTGTCCCTGGTGTTTCAAACAGTTGATCTTCTTTATGTTCGAAATGAAAAAAATGAAAGAAACACCCCACACCCCAGAGACATCCTTTGGATGACCAGGGATGTGCTGTGATATAAGACGTATACTTACAGACACGTCCGACTGGCCAAGTCGAAGAGCCACGCATGTTGGGCGCCTTTTTGCAAGAAAGCTGCACTGCGCATGGGTCGTTTCTGAAAGGATCCATCAGTGGGTGGCTCCTCCCGAAGAACAAGGAATTCCCGGAGCTGTTCCGAATGAATGCGCCATATGAGAGAGGGCAGGTGTGAAGGGCCCCCCCGCCGTTGCCCCCTTTCGACCCACCGGGTGAGACCACGTGGCGGTGCCGCCGGTGCCAGGCTTGCGGACTGGGGTCAGATGTCTCAGGCGGAGTGGGATGTAGCTTGGGTCAGGAATGGTGGATGGACAGGCTGCATTAGTCTGGGACTGGAATAGTGGTTCCTTTCAAGTTTCATAGATGCTGTTGGTCGAAATCCTGGTCTTTCAGAAGATTCCTGGCAATGCAACGAAGTCCATAGGCAAAAACAATGGTCTGTAGGTGACCCAAGAGGGAATTCCCTTTGCTTCGGTGGTGCCAAATATCGTCTATATTCGACTTCGGGGCAAATGAAATGGGCCTTCTCATTCTGCTTTATTTTTCGTTTGCTAGTAGGAACAAGTGCCTCGCTAGTAGTAACAAGTGCCTTACTAGTAGTAACAAGAAGCCATTAGAAACAAGAATTAGACTTTAATTTGGCACAGCATCTTTTGTCCAAAGTTGCAGACTCTTTTCGGCCGCCAGTTTCGCTCACGTGACCCATGTCCCATCATCCCCATGAGCATTATATGGTCCACTTCGGGACGCCTTCGTTTGTTTTCTACAAGGGGGGTGTCCTGGAACGATGGAAAGATAGGTCGTCACCTAACAAGCCAAGAAAAGGCAAAGAAGTGGAAACACTGAAAGGCTCCAGTGCTGTGACATTTGCGGATCTCCAGGGTGCCAGTTGAACCTACACCTGACACCTACCACCTTCCACCAGCACATCATCAACCCGGAACCTGGAACCGACCCAACACCACGGCCACCACAGCACCGCCCCCGGTTGCCGCGCCAGACCTTTGGGACTTCCCGGACGCCTGGCATCCACGCATCGCTTTGGCTCGGGCGGCCTACGCCACCGAGGACGTGGCGTCAACGGTGGGGTCAACGGTGGGACGGAGAGAAGCCGCTTTGGCCCACCGGTCTATACGCTTTCGGCACCCGGCCAACCACGGCACGCTTGGTTTCCACGGACGTGTTGACGCCTGACGCAGTCCGAGCGGCCGAGCGGAGGAGCTGGTGCTGATGGATGATCCCTTCGTGAGTTTCAGCAAGGATGAGGTGGACCACTTCTTGCAGGACGGTCGACGTGGTCGACGTGACGGACGGGCTGGGACGGTGCCGTTTTCAGCGCTGGAATGCCTGCAGGATGGGATTCAAGAGGTCAAAGCTGTCGCATAGGTTCCGTTTTTTGGGGGGAACCGTGTTGTTTGAATGTACGAAAGAATGACATGAGTGCGAAATACGCACAAAAGGCTACAGTCAACACACAGCTTACGGATATTCTCTTGTCCGGACTTGGTGAATGGTTTGAGGTTCATGCTTGCGTCTCCGGAAATGTTGAGTTGCACTACTCTTGGCACACCAGAGATCCACAGTCATACCATCCTTCAAAAGAAACAAGATGGCTATCCTGATCAGTGGCAAATCCTTCCCACATCTGGCTATCTCCATGCCTGGAAGATCGGGCCCTGGGTGACGCAAAGTTCTTGGTGACGAAGTTGAAGGCCCTTCTTCGCAGCGACACGAAACACGAACACGACAATGACCAAACAGAATCTTTATCAAAGCAACAACCCTACCAGCACCCTCACTGCCAGGTCTCCGAACTGGAGGGTTGGGCCCCAAGAGGTTTCTATACGAAGGTTGTAGGGAAATGTAGTCGCACTAGCCCTGGCAAGAGTTTCTTTAAGAGATTCCCTGCCCCTGAGTGTACGTAGACCTGTCGTTATAGGGTTTGCTCCATCCCGACCAATTGCCAGAGTTTCGATGTGCTTTTGCTAGTTAAACCGGCTTCCATCATTCATCCACTCTTCACGAGTTTTTCACCGTCCTCTGCTTGAGCTTGCTCAAAAAGAACCCGAAACCGACCCGCCTTCGACGTAGGTCTTCGAGGAGTCGCCGCTCTTCGCGCACCGCTCCTGCGTCGTGACCGTGGGGAGCGCGGCGCCGTTGCCGCGGCCGGCGCCAGGCCGCGGTCACACGTTCTGTTGGGGAGTTCGGGGAGGGACAGAAACGGGGACAGAATGGGATAGAAGGAAGGAGGTGAATGCTTTCGCAAAGTGTTGCCGGAAACCGTTTCAGACTCCATGGCGTTGACTCACGAGAGGTTGGTCCAGTGCACTCCAGACTCCATGACCGAAAATGGAACGCATGACCAAAAGCTAGGGGTCCCATGGTTCCATTTTTATACCCGAAGCAAATGCAACTTGCAATCCTTCAAAGAGTTGGATGACTCAGCGAAGAAAGGGATCGGCTATTGGGATTCCTGAAAGACCTTGTGGAGAGTGGGTTTGCTCGAACCTCCCCACTCCAAGAAAGGCCACCAAAGAGCCACATGTCAGGGACGGTCCAAGTTTCCTGTCGGGACATGAGAGTGAAGCAAGAACACATAGAACATGTCCCAGAAGAGGTCACCTCATTTTCATCATATGCTCCCTTTTTTCTTGACATGGTTCGGCCATCTTCGTCGTGCCGAATTGGAAGACCCTGGTGCTCTCGGACCGCTCTCGGACACGGCGACGCCGGCGACGGTGGTGTGACGCTCCGACCGCAGGGCGTCGGTTTTGGCTCTTGGAAGGTGGCACCATGCAGGCGACGCGGGCGTCGCCGAGGTTTCGGGTTCACTGGGCGGGTGACAAGGGATCCCCCAGATTCCCCATGTTGCAGGTCGAACTGCAAAAGCCGTCACCAGGCCGTCCAGGTAGTTGACTAAGCCTGTAGATCTAAGTACTTGGATATATATGTTGTTCTGCATTTGGACAATCGCACACCGACACGGAAAAACAAAAAAGGGAAGCCTAGCGGCCAGGTCCAAGTAGCAAAGCACTTGAAACCCATTTTAACCCAAGCGTAAGGAAAGGACTTGTTCACTCAGAAATCCTGCCAATGTCACTTGTCGAAACCATGAGGATCGCTGAGCCGATCGATCGATCGCTGTTTGTCCGGTCATTGAATCAGACGCTGCTTCTCCGGCAGACCTGAGCCGACGGCACTTCTCTTTTTCTTTGGCCCTCTTTCAAGTCGTGCCCTCCTCTTCAGGAGGTGTCAGAGCCGCCCGATTTCCTGAACAACGAGGCAGCGGTTGCCGGAGAAGATGCAGTGAGGAATCCCTTTGTTTTTCTTCTGTTTTTGGATGTTTTTAGCGGGTTCTGTGGGAACTAGTTTTGACAATCCCTCGTGTTTGTTTGTGCCTACAACGCGAAGACCACGCATGTAAAGCGACTTGGTTTTGAGCATGAGCTGTGCTAGAGGGTGGCGTGGTTGTGTTTTGCGCTGCTCGGACTGCAACCAGAATGTACTGTAGCGTGACGGGTTTTTTGTTCTTCTGCATCATATGATTATGATTCATTTGTTCATGAGTGTTGTTTATGCTGGCAGTGGGCTTTGTTGTGCATCGTTAACTCATCGAACATGTGCTTCGTGTGAACCCTCTTACTTTGGGTACGACTGGAGTAGCACCGGAGCCGGTGTGATGTGAAACGGATCAAACGGCTTCTGTGAGTTTCTTGGCGCAACCAAAGAAGGACTCCAATGAAGAGTCGCAAGGAAACGATGGCGCCACCAAAAGCCAACCAGGGATGAACATAAACCATGGAGTACGTGTCCATAACCCTTGGCAGGAACGTTTCCGGAGTTGACCGTGGAGGGCATCTCCTTTCACAAGCCGTGACTTATATAAGTGGATCATATCAACAATCACATGCACCAAAAAGATGCTCGATAGGGAATGAAAGGATGAATGACCTTGGCGGAAGCGCTCAAGGACGTCACAAAGAATACTGACATTCGTGAGCGGTACTTGAGTACACCGTGATCGGTCTCATCGACCACACGGGCACATTCGAGAGACCGCTCCTGGGGTTTTGGTGCAAAGGGTGATCGTCACCCACCATTAATGAAGTCCACACAGTTTGGAAACCCCAACAACACAAAAATCCAAAGTGTCTTGTCTCTCCAAGCCCTCTTTCCGTTTCATGGGTTTCTGTCCACCTCCAAAACCAGAACCCCTCGGTCGCTTCGCGTCTTCGCTTCGCCTTCGGTCGCTCGAACCGCTGCGCGCGAGGCCTTTCGCCCGCAGCGCGCGCTTCACACCGCACCGGAGCCGACGAGCCTCGTCTGTGGTGGGCCGCGTCCTTGGAGCGTTGGCCGTGGGGGAGTCCGAAGCCATGCAGTGCCGGTTTTCACTCGGCGGGTGATGTGCACCGAGACACTGCACAGAGACACTGTACCTTGATTGAGATCATTATGAAGCCTTTTCAGACAGCCGCGACGTGGATCCTGTCTAGCAACAGAAACCATTCGAGCAACCGAAAAAAATCCATCCCATTGCTGAAAAAAAAATTGTCCGTTGGTGCTTTTCCCCCGTCATCGGATGGCCAATCCATCAACCAATGGACTGGTAGAAAGAGCGCGAATTGTGAACCGGAATCCCATTGAGCATGAGGGAACCCGATCATGGGAGCCTGTGATTCCTATCGATTGTGGGACCACAACAGTTGGAACGTCTCAAAAAGGAAAGTTTGTTACATATACATGCATGTACTGTGCCGTTTTCAATCATCTGGTGGCCACCGGCTCATGTTCGGCTGAGGAAGTCGTCGCTTCAGTCGGAGAGAGCAGGCTCCATTTGGGGCAATGCCTTGCGCTTCTTATCGTTGGCTCCGGGTGACTCGTCAAGGGAAGCCGCGGATTTGCTTAGGAGGGGAGTGGAGGTTGTGAGCTGCAAAACAGGAAAACCCTTCATTTTTTAGGGGGTTCAGCTTGACGAACAGTTTTGCAAAAAAAAAGATTTGGTATGTCCTGGTCTTCAACTTGTTCGCTGCAGCTTTCCTTGGAGGACGATTGGTTTTCTGCATGGTTTAGGTCTCGTTCATTGTCCATGACGACACCGGCTGACAAAGTGTCCCAACACTAACCTTGTGGTCCAAGAACACGGTTACGGATGGCATGCTGTGCAAACGGAGCCAACACCATGTCACCGTGTGGGAAGCGCAGCAATTGACGTCTAAACATGACGCTTGGAGCCAGACGGCCAGATGTTCGGAAGCCAATTCGCTGGTTCAGCAACATCAAGCTAAATTCAGGGATATTCTCTTCCAGAAAGGATTCCGTTTTTGAGAAGACTGCCTTCTCGAGGCCATTCCTTCCTGTGGCTCTTGGTGCTCTTCAGCGACCAACTCTTGCAGTGACCCAGCGAATCGTCACCCGAATCGTCACGGCTCCGTTTTGGCACCTCAACGGTCGGATGCCAAGAGGTCGTTTCTCAACGGGGGAAGCCACGGTGTTTCAGAGGTTCCAACCTGAGTTTGAACAGCAACGGTTCCTCTGACATGTCGACGAAAGAAATCCCCAATTTGGACTCCAATTTGGTACATCTCTTTCCCGTTTCTCCGATGTGGAAGGCATATCTGTTTCCCTCAACAAGTTTCCAGGCGTTTCCAGGCGTTCTCCATCTCCGGTCTTCCGCTCTTCCGCGGGTTGCGACTCGTCTCGTCTCGAGGATTGCCGTGGACTGGTGGATCCTCACGACCGCGGTGATGGGACCCGTCTCAGCGCCTGGGACGGAACGCGGAGGAGGTGAGGAGATGAGGTGATGAGGTGATTGTGCTTGTTTGTGTTTGTGTCCTTTTTGTGGGGGGGTGGGAGGCCACACTCGGCCAGATGCTCTTCAGAAACTTGGTTTGTGGGCCTGGAAACTCCTCTTGAAGGGGATGTTTGTGGGGCCACACGGGGGTTCAGGTTCATCTTTTGAACGGGTAGTTGCTTCTCAACAAGGCAGAAACAATAGGTGCTTGAACACCACTGGCTTCGGGAGCGTTGATACACGGTTCATCTATTGGATCTTGAGCTCACCCAGCTCACCCAGCTGACCTTTGGATCGATGTCGTTCAGCCTCAGGACACTTGGCTCACCGAACAGGTGTGGCTCTTCATTGCAGTGGGAGTGGCCATGGCAACTCGGATGTGGCCGAAAGCATCGGTTCCGTTTCAGAGCCTCGTCTCGGGCCTGGACTCGTCCCCTGCTTCGTCCCCGGGACAGCGTGTCTACAGCGTAGACCGGGTAGATGGACCTTGCCGTAGTACGGGAAGACGTTGCATGGTGAAGGTGAAGATGGGTCAACCGGTGAAGATGGGTGAAGCCGCCCCGGCACCGCCCAGGCCGAGAATCAGGAGTGGTCGGGTTGAATACATCGAAGAAGTCTATCCTGGATGGGTTTTGGTGTAGTAATGAGGAGCGTTTTTTCGTTAAAATGTTGTCTGTCGGCTTGTATGGAACATCTTCTGCCAAATGTTTTTGTCACCAACATAATTCTGCTGAAATGTTGCTTGGCAACCCATGGGCGAACGGCTTTATAGGTTGGGGATCTACTGAGATAGACAGACCACTGGTACAGTTAGCACAAAGGCTTTTTTTCGGCCATTTGGTCAGCAAAAGTGTAGTTCTTGTGGTGGCCCATCAGCCAGCGACCATGTAGACTTGGTGGCCAACCTTCGCTGGAGTCCGTCGACGGTCGGCTCGCTCCCCGTGAGGTCCACCTCCTCTTGAAGCTTTCGGTGGCGCAGCTGGGCGCGCGCTGCTACGTGGCCTGCTGCCTTGCGCAGACGAAGTCGCACGAGTCGCGCAGTGAGGTGCGTTCGGCAGAGTGGAGGGGGGGACCCGGTGCGAAGTATAAGGGAAAAAGAAAACTGTATCAGGCACTGGATGAAGTGAGGTTTCAGCTGATAGTTTTGAGGGAGATCCACGTGAATGTGAGAGGGGGCAGGTCTTGACACCAGAGGTTCAGTCCGGTTTGGTGGAATGCTTTGAGGTTCTTACGATGTTTTTGAAAATTCAGATGAAGCAGTTCCCCCCATTCCATTCACACTTCATGAGGGCCTGATATCAACAAAAGCCTGGCACTAGGAGGCTCCATACCAATCCACCCCAATACCTTCCACTTCCTGAACCTAGGTATCTTAGCATCATAGCATCACTTCACCACCCTTCTCAGCAGAATTGCCAGGAGCGGGCCATGGACCTGCACTTCCCTGGGCAGCTTTGGGGGCTTTTGGCCGGTTTCTGCCGCTTGGTGTCCACGTCAGTGAAGGTGAGAACGTCCGAAAGCACGAGGGGGGATACAACTCGAGCAGTTGGTTTTTCTATGCATTTGGGAAGAGAAATTCTTTCCACGCACACTTGCCTTGCTTGAGATGTTTGATGCTGTTGGAAACAACCGGTTTCCCACCATGCAGGTCTTGCTTGTTTTGGGTGAAGCCTCAATAATTCTTCATACAGTATGTCTTTGTGTCTTTATGTCTTGCATTGCTATCCAGGGCCCAGGGCTTGGCCTACTTTGTTGGAAAGCACCATTCATGGCAAAGTCGTCAATGGCACTTTCAAGGCTTCCGACGCGTCCCAAACTCCTTCCAACTCTCCGGAAACGAACATCTGGATCCTCAACTTTAAACCATCGCAATCCCCATCGCCATCATCCCACTTCTTTTGTCCATGCTCCATGGTCATTTCCTCATTTCCAGGTACTTTTCTGGGCTTCTTGAGCCTCAGCCACCTCCGTTTGGGCCTTTGGGCCTTGGCGCTGCTGCCCTTATACCTCTCCCGGGCGCTCACCGCCACGTCCTCGCACCGAGCGCGCCGGCTCGGCGCCGGTCCGGGCGCCGCGCTGGAGCCGCTGGCGTTGGGGGCGGCGGCTGGGCTACTGGCGGGTGAGGTGGGGAAAGCGGGACTTCGGTGGAGAGAGGATAGAGAAGTTGGGACCGGGTGAGGTGGGAGGAAGGTGGGAAGAATGGAGGATGCTTCCATCACAGGATGTGTTTTGTGGTCGATCTGATCGGATGTGTTCCTTTGTGAAAGAAGTGAACATGTTGTTGAAAAAGGATTCACAGGGGATCCAAAACCCTTGCACTGGAGGGGTTCGAAACTTGATGATGCTGCAATCTGCTTCACAGCTTTCAAAAGAGAGTGCAAAAAAACAAATACACTGTACACGGTATCACATGGTATCATGTTCTTTACTGTACACGGTACAGTTGCCCTGAGACTTGTTTGGCCAAGCATCCCCAAGAGAGGTGAAGCTGCCTCAAAATCTCCTTTGGTCCCCTCAGAGTCGAGCAGTTTTCAGGATTTTTGGCAACTGTGCCAATAAGAAATCATGGTGTTTGGCTGTTGGAAGAACCTTCTGCATCGAAAGCAGCTGGAAACGCTCCGAAGCGTGGGGCACCTTTCGGATCCCACGTTGGGCAGGAGAAGCAGCTGGAAACTTGTGAGGAGAAGGGGTATCCGTTGGCATTGGATGGCCCACCCAACCCCCCAGAATCTCTAGCAGAACGCCTCCAAAAGTGTCGGCAACAACAAAAGTCCTCAAAGACACGGTTCTGGCAGTGTGAACCTGGCAGTGTGGCAAGAGTGTGGCATGTTGAACCGTTTGTCCTGGGTATTGTTTGGTGGTGTATGGGCTTCTATGTATGGATGTTCTTGTGATTCAAGACCACCACTGGAAACGAACCGCAAAGGGGGTGATTTAAGAATGCTGACACTCATGGGTGCAGGGGGGTAACATCTCACTTCCGCCTGGCTGAAAACTTGGCACTGCTTGACGAAAGGAAAATCCGGCAAGTGGCTGTTAACCCAAGTAGACTCAACAATGCATGAGAAGAGACCAATCCAAAAGCGAGGATATGAGAAAAAAATATCCCATGACTTGTGAACCTGATTGGGTAGACATTGAAACCAAGAAAACTGAAATCGTGGCCACTCTGAGTGGATGGACGACTAAGGGGACAGCACAACCCCTTCGCAACACCTCGAGAACGCATCCCTTCGGTGGCACCGACCCCCGTTTGGTCACTGAATTGAATGGAATCCCCTGGTTGGCGTCCCCGGGTTGAGGAAAGGCTGAACCAAGAATCCCCTGTTTGTATTCCCCAGCGCAACCAACAAGTCTTAGCAACAGCTGTGGTGAAGCTCTGATGTAGGAGAAGATCTTGTCATCCTTGCTGCTGGAGCGAGAGAGCAGGCCTGTTCAAACGAAAGTGCAAAACCACTGGGAGGCGAGCGCCCTTATCCTCGCCGGACGGGAGGATAGCGGCGGCTTTTGACCGCAACCGGAGACCGGAGATGGAGTGAGCATGGCACTGCGACACCGCCCCAAATACGAAGATTGCAAAGGAGCGACCGATCTAAAGCCGTTCAAGCCTGAGGTTGGTGATGTCTTCTAATTTGTCCGAAACCACTTTAGGGGGGTCAAATCGATCGATTCAAGAGAACATCACTTCCATACACACGAATCGATCGACCTCTTTCACACTCCCTCTCCCTCATTCATCACATTCTCTGCAATCCACACAACCAAGGCCCGGCCCCATTTTCCATGTGACCGACGACCGTGTGAGATCGGACTCAATCGCCCGATCTGCCAGGAACCGTCCGCCCGACGTTCCTCAGCCGACCAAGTTGAACTCAACGGAGGAAATGCCGTTTCAGCTGTCAGTCGCCAAGAAGAGGAAAGCCTCCTGATCCTTCCTTTACCCCAATTCTTGGAGCAAAAACACCCATCTATGGTATCAGAGGATCATCCATTCCATCGCACGAGCCAGGCCACAGCTCGTACAGCTCGGGGATTGCCTCAGCGCTTTGCCCGGGCACTTGGAGGTGTCGAGACCAGTGCACTGAGCCACCAGATGAAACATGGACTTATATGATACACGGGGTACCCGGTAGGGTTTGGATCAGAGCAACCCTTGCAGAAACGAGGCGGCCATCCGGCGTATGGCTCCACGGGTGTTTTCCAAGCAAGCGAATGGCGTGCTGCAAACGGGGCACGTCGCAAAGCGTGTGGCAACGGATGAAGGATAAACTCCTCGGCAGTGACAGCGGCTCATGAAGTTTTCGTCCTGAAGGCCATGGAAAGAGAAGAGAGAGACACTGTAACAGACATGGATTTACTTGCTCAGACAGCTGATCGTTGGCGTGAAACCAAAGTGTCTTGCAAAGAGATTCGCGTAAAGTGGCAGAGACGTTTCTCCCAGGAAAACTGGAGGCTCAATGATTCGACTTCAAAATGCATGTAGCCAAGGCCACGGCGACGTCCTCTTCCTTGCACAGAAAGCACAAAGCTCATGGCTCGACTTGAATCCCATTTGGTGCAAAAGATCCGATGCCCCTCGAGGCCCTTTCTTGGTCCGACTTCAAAAGGTGGGTCCCTTCGATTCGACACAAAGACCCAAATGGAAGGCACACTGAAAGGAAGAAATCGTGGCTTTTTCACATGGATCTACCTATGATCATGGACCTCACCCTTTTCAGCTCAGTGGCGTTTGGCCATGAGAGTCACACGGATGCATTCAACCTGCGGCTGTGGAGCAGTCAACAAGACTGAACAGTTGCTTGTTGCTTCCGCTGGTAGCGGGATTGCAGAGCTTTCGCCAAACAAATTCCCAAGCATGCTGCATGTTACTGCATGTTTGCTTGATTTGTTGTTCTCCGATTCTACGAAACGGTGGATTTTCCCGAATGCCTAGCGAAGGGTTCTCGTTTGGGGTAGACTCTTGTTCGCGACTTGTGGTCGTTTGCAACCGTTCGCAACCGTTCGGAGGAGGGCGCTATGGCGCTCACATTCGGAAAAGCTTTAGGGATTTAGATGGAAGCATGATGTGGAGATTTGTGGGAAATAGCGAGTTCACTGCACAGGCGCGGCGTTTTGTGAGATCTGCAGCTTTCTTCGCAGTCACATTGGAATTGGGTTTTGGAGGGCTGTGTTTTTGGTGTGTTGGATGTGGCTGCGACATTGGGATTTTGCGTTTGAGGCTGCTTCCAAGCTGTGTTTTCGTGGATGGGAGTGTACTCAGAACAGTTCAAAACTATTCCAAACGTGTGGTGTGGTGCAAACTTTGCGGAAGACATGAGCATGATAGAACATGTGAATACATGTGATATCCTCACTTTTCGTGACAGGCGCAGAAAAATCGTGAGGTGGCGATGCTTGGTGGAGGTGAACGTTGCTGTGAATTTGGGATTGGTGTGTCAGTGGCTGCAGGGCTGGGGTTGCAAAACTGCGTGGCAGGGCTGTGGAATGCGTTGTCTCTGACAGGTTCCTGCTTCACGTTTGAAGGAAATCTTGTACGAAACACTCATTTTGGAGACTTTGATGCGTGACTTTTGGAGGGGTCTCGTATCAAGGACCTCAGGACTACACTTTTGCAGTGCTGGAGGGTCAACTTCACGGGAGCGTGCAAGGTCGACCATCTGGTAGGTCCAGATCTGGAAGACGCCTTGAAGATTGCAGAAGAGGTCAGACTGGACGGGAAAACCGACGTGGACCATGCCAACGTGTGGGAGTTTGGGGCGCCATGCACGAGCTACTGCGACTTCAACCGGGTCAACGGTGGCACCAGGACATATGGCAACTGCATGGGCAGAACTACACCTACCATGTTGGAGACCGACGGGAACTGCTTCTGCGACTTCACTTGCAAGGTTGTGAAGAGATCTATGCCCACGACAAAAGGAGTTCATCTTGGAATCCTCCATGCCTTCAGGGCGTTACCCGAAGCTCTGGGACCAACCCAGGGTGCAAGCACCAGGACGCCAGGAGAGCATGGGCGCCCTGATAGTCCCTACACATCTTTGTGAGTGGGGAGCCGCCCCTTCTGATCAATCTCACCTGCAGCACAAGAAAGGGCAATGGACCCTGGTATTGGTGGGGCTTTATCTGCACGCTCCACTGCGGGGTACGAGAGCTCAGGTCTGCCCATTCCGTGTCTGCCGCGGCTGGGCTGTGGCAATTCAGGCAGCCTACCAAGGCTACTGCTTTCAAGTCGTGCGCACTTGAAGCATTGGATGATGAAGTTGGCCATCGGGAGCCAATGTCAGAGAAACCAAGGGGCAGAGGAGATGGAACTTGCCAAGGTACCATGTATACCATGTGCTACCAAGTGGCCAGTTCTGAGATCAGCTCCCAGAAGCTGCTTCCCGCACTGCATCTACGCTACAAAGCTGCCAGTTTTGAGGCCACAGTTCCCAGAAGCTACTTCCCGCACTACATTTGTACTACAGGGTCGCTAATTCTGAGGCCACAACTGCCACTTCAAGTCTCCAAAACGAGCGTTTCGTGATGAAGACTTGGAAGAGGCGGTTGTCCTTATCATGGTGTGCCCTCAAGCAGTCGCGCACAAAGCCCCTCATGTTTGCTTATCCATTGCGCTGGGTCACCAAGCTCCGCAATGGCTCACGCTGCCTCATCCCAAAGTGTTGCCCGAAACTCTTTCGCCTTTTGCTGAACCAGACTGGGGACCATGCCCGGATCCCAGTCGCTGCCTACCACATCAGCAAGGTGCAGCACCAAGCACTGCCTTTCCTCCTCGTCTCCTTCACTGGGCCCAAGTGCGCTCGCAAGTTCCTTGTAGCCGATGCACTTCCAACTGCGCCGTAATGGAAGTCGAACTTGCCTTCGCCATATTCCCGTTCTCGATGCCAAGATGGTGTACAGTACTAATGCAAGCTTGTCTCTCCTCGTCACACCATCCCACGGACCAGGTGCTGCTCGGCTTCCTCCAGCACTTGACAGCCCTTCTCGGTCGCCTCGAAGAGTGTGGTGTCGATCTCCAGCTTGATGCCCTCCAGGTCCGCATTGACTACCCGACTTCTGACATGCGATTGCAGCCAGGGCCTCGAGTCCCTCATCCTGTCGAACATCTCTGCTGTCTCCAACTCTCGCAACCTTTCAAGCCTCTTTTGCCCCTCAGTGTGTTCAACTTGTTTCTCCACGCAATGGTCCTCCCTTCTGCATCTTGATCTTGCAGCCATGCCGCATCCGGCCCTCTTGTGAGCTCGCTCGGCTCCTCCTCAAGCTGGGTGTATTGCACCTCGTCATATTCATCGGGTGGGAGTCACCCTAGCTTCTGACCCGGGCTATCTTTGATCTTTTCTTCCGCACTCGAGAGCGCCTACATGGTTCCACAAGCCAAGACTCGTCTAGATTCCGGTGGGCAACGTTGCCTACACGCTGAAGGCATTGGTCGCGGCAAATGATGCCTTGCCAGACGAGCATCACGCGGCTGGTCTGACAGACTGCCGAGCGATCACGGACGTGGTCACGTTTTTGTAGGCCGAAGGGTTTGCCTGCAGCACTCTGTCGGCCTGGCTGAGCTATGGACTCTGGACACAACTCAACGGAAAGCGAAGCTATTCCTGTCCTTGAGGACGGACGTGAAGCAAGCCGCAGCAACGAGGGTCGCGCTGTTGACACATTCGAACGCCGGGGCCAGGATCTTGCCTTCAAATTCCCTGAAAAAGCTCGGCAGCGGCGCCAATTCGTCTGTGGTTGCTGCCACATTCTGCCAGGCAATGGACGCCGCAAGCACTGCGCGCCTTGATCCAGGCAGCGTTCGGACATCGCTGGCAATAAAGTTTTCACAATTGGTTGTGCTCATTCAACTTCATTGCGCCAGTCAGCTTCAGAATGTGGGCGCCCTTGAGCGGGCGCAGGCATCGGGTGTGCTGCCATCAAAGCAGACCAACAACATCCTTGCCTGTACAATGCATTGAGGGTTGGCCATGCAACGTTCACGGTGATACCTGTTAACGCCTTGCCATGAGGCTAAGCTAACATTTCCGTCGTTGTGGCACAAGCGGCATTTTCTTGCACTTCTCCCCTTCTAAGCGTGACAACCGTTTTTGCACCAGAACTGAGCATGGTGCTGATCACGCACCAGATATGAAAAAAGAACGGTGGAAGAAATCAGGGAAGGTAGATTAGTTCTTGCAGGGCTGTCCGCAACTTTCCAATAAGATCCCCGTTTGTACGGCCAGTATTTTGTCCTATAGCTGGACATCCATTTTTCATAAGGTTTTCGAGGCCTATGTTTAAAACCAATAAGGATTTTATGTTGAACCAAGGATCCAATAGCAAAATAACAAAGGATGAGCAGGATTTCATACAAGCTATATTTACAGGAATTTATAAGACCACCACTTCAGGATTTCCAGGAAACTAAATAAACTGGAACACTGAATAATACAACGAAAACACCTTCTTTCAGGAAAATACACTGGCACACCAGACGACGGGACATGTTCACATACTGATTCTGCCATGCCTCTTCCCCTATGCTTCCTCCTTCTATTTATTCTAAGTCGCGTAGTCTGCAATGATTTCAATGATCCCGATCCCCCTGAATGTACCTTATCCTCGGAATGTAAATCTAAGCCCTCTAGGCTCTAGCATTCATTCTTTACAAACTGTTCACAGAGACAATTTCGGCCTTCATGATCTCCACGTCTTCATCCTCGTCCTACGCATTCTGCAAGCAAAGGCAACAGAAAAACATTCAGAAGATGAATGTCATCCCCATGTCATTCACACCGTTTCATTCACTGTGCTGGTATTCCTATTGTCTGGAACTCAAGGATATCAGTGGTTATCTATGGTATATCTTCATAAATCTCAAAAAGCATATAAATAAATCCTATGGAACAAGACTGAAATGGAAGTAGACTCTTCTCTTCAAGAAGTCTCAGTTTTTAAAAACCTTTAGCATGTTCTCTTCGATTTGGCCTTGAGAGATCACAGAAAGATATAAATACAGGTTAGACATTTCCTAGGAACATGCTCTCGGTTAACTGTTTTGTTGATGGTTTTAAGTAGGCTGGAACACAAGGATTCTATAGCATGTTTGGTCCTTAAAAACGCCACTTGTCGTATAGGATAATATAAACAGAGACCGTGTCTGACTATGTGTGTTTCTGAGTGCCCGACTCCAACCTGTCGTACAGACGGGGATCAATAAGGCCAAACCCAGCAAACTTCGGGAATATAAGGAATCAAGAAAGAAAATGCCTTCTTTCACTAGATCAATTGAAGTGAGCTACTTGTTTGGTTTCTTTTGGTGGTGATTTTAAAAATTCGAAACCCGATCCATTCCTATTAGAAGCCTATTGAAATTCGACCTGTTCTTCCCCCAAAGAGATCTGGAGAGATCCGCCCAGGTACACCATCACGGCGCTGCTGCTCGGGAGCCGTTTCAGTGCCCTCCAGGTGTCCTCCCGCAGTGTTCTGGATGTGGAAGAAACGAGGTGTTCGGAAGGAACGGATCTGGAAGTCTTGGAAGTGTTTGTGACAGAATGCGGATTTTGACAGCGACCATACAAGGCCAATATCACCAAAAGACGAAGGAAAGAGCTGAACGAGGGCACTGAAAACGGTGCCTGTTTGGGGCGATCAGTTGACGGCAACCGTTGGAAGCCGTTTGCGACAGATTCGGTGCATCGTCATGGTCATGACAAACAAGGGAATTGAAGAGAATCAGATCCAAGGATCTATGAAATCGCATACCGTTTTTTGGCCAGTCAGGTCTCAAACACGCGAAATCTTCAAAAACAACTGTAAACATCGAGTGATTGATTTACAATCGTTCCGTGATTCTGTGTTGTTTGCGGGTTTGTTTGGTGTGAAGCACATCCTTTGTAAACGGGTTGATTGTAGAACGAAGGAAGGTCATGACAAGTGTTGCCAATTGGAGGTTGGCCTTTGAGCCTTGCAAACAGTCCCTGTGGATAGAACACATCGAAAGCCCGAGGTTCAAGCATGAACCGCCATGCGCAGCTTTCCGACAGAATATGCAGACAAGATCTAAAGAAAGAAAGAAAAGAAAGGGAAAAGACAAGATTGCAAGGAAAACAAGCGGGAAAGGGCAGAAAAAGAACTAGTTATATAAGAATACGATGTAAGACAAGATGAAATATGTTGGGCTGCGAATTTAATACGTTGAGCCACATCCAGATCACCGCCATCTCCGCAGGCCATGTTGACACTCGCGCCTTTCGGAATGCTGCTGCGCCGGACTGAGTGAGCTAGGTTGTTTCCTTTCGCAGCCGGCTCCGGCCACAGGTGCCACCAAAAGCAAACTGCAACGCAATGTGGGTCAAACTGAAACTCGATTGATGGCGTTGATGCTGAACCTTTTCCGGTATTGGACTGGATGTTGAAACCTCATGCCTTCGCAAGTGTTTCTTGCACAAAGGACCTTCTATTTGGGATTACTTTAAAAAAGAGGCCAAGGTTCTACGTGTGCCCACATGAAAACCACATGAAAGCAATGAGTTGCATGCATTAGCCTTCCACAACGGGTTTCAGATGGTTTGTGCAGGATGGTTTTGGTGCTCCTCGTTCTTTGCACCTTTTCGTCGATCACGTGGCCACCGCGATGGAGTACGGTCGCGGTCCCAGGCACTTCGTGGTGCCCTGGACGGATGCCTTGTACCAGTCAGAGGCGGGGCGAGGAAGACCCATTCAAGGACTCCAACAGGTGAAGTTCTGCTTTCACGAAAGGTCGTCGAGTGTTCTGTTTTCTTTTTCTGTTGTTTTGGTCGACACTGATGGCACGCTAGTCCAGACAGAAAGCATCTGCACACACTTGTTCCGTTTCGTTCAGCCTACGTGCGAGGGTCGTTCAGCTACCCGATGTGCAGGCCCCACCACCGAGGTATGGACTGGGTCGCAAAATCAGGATTGATAGATCTTCAAAATGTGCCTTTCTACCTGGGGTATACCCCCAGAGTGCTAGTTTGGCAAGCATGCAAAGCAAGCTTGAACACCTACTCGTCACCTCTCCTGAGTGAAGGACAAAGACAAAACATGAGTAGCACCTTATCACCATATCCGTTAGGTTTTTGGATCTCCACAGGTGTTCCTAGAGCAGAAAACAAGGACAAGTGTCCAACCAAGCCATGGCAAAGCCACGGTTGGAGGGTCAGCGGTTCCTTTCTTTATTTTTAGCCCGTTCCCTCCCTCCCTACTTTAATTAAGTGGGCGCCTACTTCATCAAGTAAGGAATGGAGGTAGCTAGTACCTTACTTAGGCTACTAGTATGCAGGATAGCTCACGCTTCTTCAAGGAAGCTTCCTCGCAGTATTCATTTGATTCCTAGATATTTTGAGACACTGAACGTTGAAGAACGATGTGTTCCCGCCCTCTCGTCCGCTCGTCCGCTCGGCCAGGCCTTGGCAGCTCCGTCCGAGGAACGGGGGCGTTTCGCGGTCGGTTGAAGTCGGTTTGGGACGCCAGGTGCTGGGGATGTGAGTTTTGTTGTCCAACTGAATGAAGAGCGAGACAAATCCGTGACCCATCGGTTCTCCAGACCGTCGATGTTTGGCAAAAGGGGCGCTCCTCAAGCGGACATGCAGATCAAGTGGAGCTCAAGCGGATCGCCGGTTAAGCGATCTACAAGCCAAGATCTACTGTTGGGAAAAGAAGGTGTTTTGACATATCGATCATTTCCAACCTGTTTCTATCTCTGTGTGGAGCTTTCTGACAGCAATGTCCCTTGCACGGAATGCATCAAGTTCGGGCTGGATGGGTGTCCCGTGACAACCGATCTGGCTTTGCAGGTAGCTTCAAAGCCAAAGTGAGGAACTGTAGGCGGCACCCGGTGAGGCACCTGAGGCCGACGGGCCACTCGTGAACCCACAACGGTTTGGGTAAGACGAGCAGGTCCAACTGAGTGCCTCTTAAAGAGATGTCTACATTGGTTAAAGTGAAAAGAAACGCTCCTTAAAATGACCACTTCGTAGGGTGTTGCCGGTGTTCGCCCCTTGTTTTGCCAAAGTGAAGAGTCATCGTCGGCATTCCCTGACCCCAGCGCACTTGGACTCCCAGCTTGGCCTTGGTCTTGAGGGAACTGCGAATGGGATAATGACACCGAGTGGCGCGCGTGGATATGCACTCCGGGTCGTGTGAATGACCTGGCGAGTTCAATGAATTTGGATGCCATGGCCAGTGCATCTCGTTCATCTCATTCTCATTTGCCACTGTTTGACCCTGAAAGTTTGTTGAGTCATAGTCCTTCTATCTTGAAGGTTAAACTTGCATGATGCACAATATGCAGCACACAGTTTTAGGTGAAAGCTTTTTGACTGTAGGGAATGCACGGAATGCGCTGAGTGTGTTGGTGGAAGGAGCGGTCCAAAATGGTTTGAACCCTCAACATCAAAGTTTCAAGGAGACCGGGTTGTTTCAGACGGTCTTGTACTTGCAGCATGGGTGCTCATCCCTTTTTTGCAGGCGATGGCCTATGTTCCATCACACACCACCAGCGCTTGTGGTGGTTTACAGTTTACCCCGTCCCGTCCCGTTTTAAGGGAGACGATGGCAAGCCAGAAAAGTGTATCCCATCGGCCCAGCGACAGACGTGATGATAGCTCGTTGCAGCTGGGAACAAACTGGGATTCATGGAACTCCTCGAACAAGCTTTTTATTATTGTTTCTAATAGCTTCTTGTTACTAGTAGTAAGGCACTTGTTACTAGAAGTGATGCACTTGTTCCTAGTTGCTTATTGTTGTCGAACAAGCTCTGCCCGGCATTTTTGAAGGCCCAAAGTTCGAAAAAAATGGACGGCCTCGTCTTCACTCCTTCCGCGGCGCCCCACGCCACGCGCGCTCCGTGCGCTGTGCACGCTGCGCTCCATGGCACGCCCTCCGTGCGCCCCGGTGCCGGTGGGGCAGCCTTCGGCGCCGTGAGCGGCCTGGTGGCGGCCCTGGTGGCTTCTCAGGCGGCAAAAGCCATGGAAATCCCATGTGCCGATTCTATATATAGATCTTCCAACGGTGTCGAATCTATGCTTTTCCATCTATAAAACCAGTCAAAAAAACAGAAATTCGGGATAGTTGGAGGATCTAGGTATATTACTTTTTCTAGATTCCAGAAAAGGCGCAATCAGCAAAAGGATTGGCTGGCATTTGGAATTTTGCCGAACTGAGTTGGAATCAGAACCACCAGCACCACTCCATTGATCAACGCTTATGGCAATGATGGTAAGCCCGATGGATTGAGGCATTGAGGTTGGTGGCTGTAGTGCCAGAGAAGTACTAGTAACAAGGTGCATCACTACTAGTAGCAAGAAGCTACTAGTAAGTAGCTCCTGGCATTACTACCAGGAACAAGAGCATCGCTACTAGGAGCAAGGCCCGATTCTCGGTTCAAAGAAGTACTTCTCATGTTCATCCGATTCCTCGGGAAGTCGTAAGCCGCCCGCGCTCAGATGGCCAAGCCGCGATCTGTGCGTCCGCGCCGCGTGAAGCACGTGTGCATGGCGGTGCCGACGGAAAAGCCCATGCGCACGCCTCTCGACGGCAGCCGGCACATCATCTCAGGCCAAGGTACCACCTGGTTGTGGGTCCAAGTTTCAAGGGAGGGATCCCATGATCTGTACAAAACTTGACGAATGTTGCCAAGGTGGAATTGATTTGCTTCTTGCATGTCTTTGTATGAGGTTCTTCCCGATCGGTGCTGCGGGGAGAACCTCCTTCCGTCACTGAGGACCGTCTTCACCAAAGCCGCCTTGGACGGCGTCTCCCCAGGCGATTGCCCCTTCACCCATGGGGTGCTCATGGCTTTGTGTCTAGACAGAAAAGAGGTTGAAAAAGAAAAGCAAAACAACAAACTCGTACTGTTTCAGATTGTGGCTTTGAAATTTTGAATTGATGTGTTCATGGCAAGCATTGCGTTTTGTGGACAAAGCAAAGCTGCGGGGTTTCTTCGCGAAACAGTAGAAGCTATTGGACTGAACCATTGTAGTGGCAAGAAACAAAGGTTGCCACTCTTGGGTTCCTTTCTAAATTCTGCTGGGAAGCATCTCTAAGTCCCCAGTCGACATGATGTCACAACCTTAGCTTCTGCCGCATCACTCAAGTCCTTGAAGGTTCTTTTTCTCGGGGCATCAATGTTTTCCACAGAGGGGATGAGCGAGAGCTCAAAAAAAGAATGGAACGGGTCAGCCAGTTCAGAACAGAGTCCCTTGACTTGGAACCTGAGCCGCCAAGTTGACGGAAAGAGCAGACCTTTTGTCGAGTGCCTCTCAACGGGATCAAAACAAACCGGTGAGCATTTAGTAGTGTGCTGAGCCGGGTGTTTCTTGGTTTGAAAAGCATGCTTTGAAAGTTCCGTCTTGAACACCTGCCCCATTTTGAGGACCGTGGAACCGGCAAAGGTTCCCCTACACTCCACACATTGTGCCATACATAGAGACTGGTTCGACTCCGTCACTTCTAAGGAAGCTGAAAGGTGTGGACTATGACGTGGTGGCGTGCAGCCCAACCACGAAGCCTCCATGGCTCCTTCAAGAGGTCGGTGGTCAGATGCCATGTGTCTCTGGGCCGCAAGAGGTTTGTGTGAACAACTCAAGGTTTGGGGCTTTTTGCTTGAACTTCAAACCATAGTTAGTTTCATAACAATGACAAGAGGTTTCCATTGTGGACTCACTAATGTCACTGATGAAATCAGCCTTGAGCGCTGACATAAAAGACCCAAGCCACCCCAACTCACTCGCCTCGGATGGCCCACGCACTGATGGACGGGAAGAACCACACGAATGTAAAGTCGAACACCTTTCACGCTAAACATATAGGGACATGCAGAGTCGGACACTGAACAAAAAAAAACAGAGTGAAACATGTTTCAGTCCAAGAGCTTTGAGTGAAACGCAAACACATAGATAGAGCTTTGAGTGAGTGTTTTGACAAACTTTTTTTTTGTACTCATCTCTATCCATCTCTATCCACTATCCAAAAACATGGTGGCCGTTCCACGCTCAGGTGGTGCACCAAGGGGTTGCTCACGTGGAGAGCGGGAAGATCTTGTGGCTTGGAGATACTGAGACAGGGCGGTTGGGGACGATGTGGAATCGTTTACAGGTGGAGTAAGACGTTTCAATCATTCTCAATCTACCTGTGAAGGAGCATGGAAAATGTTCTTTTTCTTGCAGGATCTCTTCAAACATTGGATGGGAAGGAGCTGACAAGGGCAGATTACCCTACTAGATGATGCGCTCACTGTAAGTGATGACTTATGGCTGGAGAGAGCCATTAGAATACGCACTTTCTGGTTCTTTGGAAAACCTTCTGAAAGAACGAAGGTTGGTCTGACAAAAGACCACCATGTCCTCATCACGGAGACCGAACGTGTCGGCGCTTTCAGGAAGTGGATCGACCAAACCTTCCCCGGCCCCACCTTGGCGGTGCCTTCGGTGCCTCGGCCAGAGCGAAGCACTGCCTTGGTGCTTCGGTACCGCACAGCTGTGCATTTTAATTCTAATCAGTAACAAGTGCATCGCTACTAGGAGCAAGGGCCTTACTAGTAGTAACAAGAAGCTATTAGAATTAAATTCCAATTCTAATTACTTTTACTTTTTGTTTCTAATAGCTTCTTGTTACTACTAGTAAGGCACTTGTTACTAGAAGCGATGCACTTGTTCCTAGTAGCTTTAGAATAAAGATGGGTCACAATCCCACATGAATTCACCAATCCACATTAAGCTTCTTGTTCCTAGTAGCGATGCCAGGAGCCCTAGTGGCGTCCTTGCTCCTAGCAGGAAGGCCAGGAGCCTCTAGCTTCTTGCTCCTAGTAGCAATGCCATTAACCGATTAATTTCATGGGTTTTGGCCATTTTGGATCTATTTGACCTTGTCTTCCCAACAAAGACTCGTCGCTTGGACCATTTGTGCGTCCGACCCAGACGAGATTTTGGCGGAACCTGGTCATCTCGTAGCCAGGATTTTGAGGAGCTTGTCAGCCGTGCGGGGCTCTTCGCAGCCATTGCAGAGTACACCAAGAACACCGTCACTTGGAGCTGGAAGGGACTTGAAGGGACACCCTCAAACACTGCTGCTTTTGCAAAGTGAAGGTTCAGATCACCATGTGGGTGGGTTTGGGGGAGAATAAGAACAAATGATATGTAGTTTTGGTATCCACGGAAAGAGAACAATTGCAGTTACTACAGTGGGACTGTGCTCCAATTGGGAACTCCCCAAATTTGTTGGAAGCTGTGCTGGGACGATTTTTACACCAAGGATGAAATCTGGTCACTCACTCACCAATATCACAAAAAAACATACAAAAGGAAAATAGTAGCTTTTTTGTTACTAGTAGTAAGCCCAGGAGCCCCTAGTAGCGTCCTTGCTCCTAGTAGCGATGCCTTTCGTTCCTAGTAGGACTCGGGAGCGTCGCACCTTCGCTCTTCGTTTCTGCCGTTCGCTCTCCGAGGACAGCAGCAAGGACGCCGTGCTTTGGAGACCAATGCGAGGGGAGGGAGGAGGGCACTGGAATCGGACTTGAAATGGGTGGAATGGGAGTAGAAGCCGTTTTGAAAAATGAATTGAAAACAAGAACGGATGATGTTTTGAAGGATTCTGGAGATGCTTGACTTTCTGCAGGTTGGTTGATGGAAGTCACGCCTGCGTTAGCTGCAAAGATGTTCCCAAAGGAGTGCTCCAGTTGATGGAGTGGAATTGTGTTTTCACGGAGAATCCAAAGGAGGAGCTCCAATTGAGTATCAACTTTTGTTTTCTTTTCTTCCGCTGTTCAGAGTATCTAGCCAGGGACTTACTGAATCATGCTTATCCTTTTAGAAGGTGATTTCAATCAGCTGCAAATACCTCTAAACCGCCGTTGAATGCAGTCATTCCGATCGACGGTATGAAGGTGGTTGGCAACTCCATCAACACAGTTCCCAATCACTGAGCAAAGCCAACGATCGCCGAAGTGCCACATAGCGAGCAAGAAGAAGACCGACATAACAATAATGTGAGAATCAGATCAAGTCCACTCCATCGCCTTTGAGCCATGGCGAAAAAGATTTCAGCCCTACAGCCAAGTGGTGAAGTTATGGTTCTCGAAGTCACACAAGAGATGACAGGCCGGATGCTGAAGCGCCAGATCAAAGAGGGACAGCCCTGGGATGAGCTCACTCTCAGCACTACAAGTGTGGAAATCATTCTCGGAGACAACCAATTCCTGACCAATGATGAAAAGCTAATGGAAGCTGGAATTGCTGAAGATACTGTCGTGAGTGTTGTCTTCAAACCAAATCTAGTGATATGCTCCAACAAAGATGCGATTGCCAGTCTTGGCGGCATCGTTGACTGGGGACTGTTGCTTGTGGTCGCAATTCCAATTGGCGAAACACAGATTTGTGATAGCGCTTTCAAAGGTTGCGACACGTTGGCCAAGTTGATCATCCCCGACTCAGTGACCCACATTGGGAATGGTGCTTTTAAGGGTTGCAGCTCTTTGGTCCACTTGTCCATCCCAGAGTCAGTGACACACATTCGGAATTATGCCTGTCATGATTGCATCTCTTTGGTGAACTTGTCAATCCCAAACTCTGTGGCCCACATTGGGGGTGGTGCGTTTCAGGGTTGCAGCTCCTTGGCAAACTTGACTATCCCAGACTCTGTGACCAACGTTGCGTATGATGCTTTTCGGGATTGCCGGTCTTTGGCAAACTTGACAATCCCAAGCTCAGTGACCCACATCGGGAATGGTGCCTTTCAGGATTGCAGCTCTTTGGCCAAGTTGACAATCCCACACTCTGTGACCCATATTGGGCATGATGCTTTTCGGGATTGCAGATCTTTAGCAGACTTGACCATCTCAAACTCAGTGACCCACATTAGCAACTTGGCATTTGGTGGCTGCACAGCTTTGACAAAATTGTCAATCCCAAACTCAGTCACCCACATTGGGGTGTTTGCCTTCTCCGGTTGCACATCGTTGGCAGACTTGACCATCCCGGACTCGGTAACCCACATTGGAGATGATGCCTTTCGAAATTGCAACTCTTTGGCAAGCTTGACCATGGCAAACGTGATCCACATTGGGAATGGTGCCTTTGCTGGTTGCAGCTCTTTGGCGAAGTTGACCATCCCGAACTCGGTAATCCACATCGGTGAGCGTGCCTTCAAGGGTTGCAGGTCTTTGGTATTAAGAGTGTCCATCTCTAATACCAGGTTCGAGATGCTCAAACTACAAGGCTGCAAAAGAATCATAGCAAAAGAGTGTCACTGCCATGAATGCGAATACAGCTGGTTTTTGAAAGGCTGGGTTTGTCCCCGACGGTGGCACCGCTAGGCGTCACTGTCGCTGGCTGGCCACTTGGGTTGAGAAAATGCGCTGCTGGGGATAGGACTTGGGGACCCTTCTTTTCCTTTCTTTCCGTCTCTTTTCTGATATGTTTCGATTGATCTTGCAGGTGGAATCCCAAATCACTGTTGAGGTGTAGCTGGTTCGTCGTTTTGAGAGGGCTTCTTTGTTTGAGACATCACCTTTCCTAAGTAAACGCCAACGGGGAGCGTGTTCAGAGTCTTTTGAGTCGGCTGCCTCTTGAGGCCTTTACCCTGCTGGCCGTTGGGAGTCCATTTCACTTGCCGCTCCACGTGAGTTGATCCGAGGACCTGCTGGTGACTTTGCAGATGGCCCTGACGCGCTTCCGCATGCACTTGTGCCTTGCCGACACAGTTTTGTTTCAAGAAGCCCCTAAGGTATGATGCTTTACACGAGAACGAATGACTCATCAAGATGATTTGGGTGTGACGGCAAATGCCCCGCGATATTTCCCCTTGCCACGCTGAGGTTCTCCTTGCCCATCGGCACCCAATATGCCTGTGGCAACGCTCTAACCTTGGCAGACTGCGAAGCTTGGGCCAAGAGGTGTCGTGGGAGGGAGGAGCGAAACCAAGATGCCATCCATTTGCCTTGGTGATAACAGCAGACCAGTGCTCCAAGTGCCCCAAGTGCCTAGCCACATTCCAAGTCGGAGTAGACCATAGACTTTTGGGTTAGCAGGAAGGCAATCCAAACATCGACCGATTCCATCGACTTCACTTCACGCCCAGGAATTGCTCCCGGCACTCTACGTGCTGCAGAATGCCACCGCCCCGCTGAAAGGAGTCGCGCCACGGAAAACGAAGCCCAGTTCCATCCTCCCTTGCCTTCCGCTCACTGGGTGTGTTTGCCGCATTGTAGTCATTCTCTGGAGATCAATCACATGCAATTTAGAGTAGAGCTTCCCTATACGGGTATGTAAACCCTTTCGGGCTGATGTCCTTCGGCCAGGATGGAGTCTGAATAATTTGCCCGAGAGCGACGAAATTCGGCAGTACTACAACCGAGCCTCGACTTTACCTGCCTTCGCGCAAACTTGCTATCCTCCGAATGTGCCTTGGACCGCGACATTTGGGCTGTGGGTCGCGGACGATGACAAGTTCTCACCGACCTCATCTTTCTTTTTTTGCTAAGCGGATTTGGTTGCAAGATACAAGCGCTATGCTTGAACAACGCCACTTTGAAGGGACCAGCGACAGGTTCCATTTACACCACCTATACGTGTCGCAACTTAGCATGCCGCCAAAACACGAGCGCTTTTGTCCACGAAAGTGAAACAAATGGATTTTGAAACGTTCGGGTCCGATCACACCATTGGCCATCGGTCGCAAGCAGGTGGCGCTCCAGGGCTGGACAGCCGCGAGAAGTTGAGGTGGAGAATGGACGAGAGAAGAACAAGAGAGGGACTAGTGGAGAGAGGGAGAGAGAGAGAGAGAGGGGGGGAGGGAGGGAGGGGGGGGAAGATGTGGCACTTGGAAGCTTCCTGGCTTTTGGCGGAGAAAAATCCCAAACTTGTTGTTTTGGTTTTCGAGGTCCTTTTAGACAAGAGATAAGTGTGCTGTTCCCGTTCCATTTTCCAGCCTGATTGAAGATGAGCCTCCATGCAATGTGAAGAATCTCGATCTTCAACAACCGCCACAGAAACTGCATTGATGAATTTTGAAAAGCATGTCTCCAAGTCCCTTTGTGTTTTTTCAAGAAAGAAGAGTGGACCTGCTCGATCGGCAAAGGCATTTCGAAGGTTGAACCCAGGGTTGCCAGTGCTCAATCAGGCCCTTACTCAGGGATTGATGCATCCATAGTGTTGACGGATCAGTTCCTGCACTGCTCCAGGACACACACGAATTGCACATCGCAATCGTTAGTCCATGCTGACTGCCCGTCAGGTCTGTGAGGCTGCTTTGGCCTGCCTCCGGCCTCGAATCTTTTTGAGTCGAAAGTGACCGAAGAAATGGATTCCACGGATGGTTGTTTCAAGTGTGCTTTCCAAGTTAGGGAGCTTTGATGAACAATTTGGAGTTATAAAAGGTGTATGCGTTCTGGTATGTTTCCTTTGATATATACAGTCAATGCGCAGGAACAACCACTAGCATGTCCCACAGCCGCGTTCAGAGACACTTCGGTGACTTTGGTGAACTTGCCGATTTCAACTTGGTGGCAATGCGTGTTCTGACGTGTCGGCTTTGGGCAGGGAACCATGAACCCAATGTCCAGAAAGAAAGGGCATTGATTCAGTGCTAATTGATAAGCTACTAGGAACAAGTGCATCGCTACTAGTAACAAGTGCCTTACTACTAGTAGCAAGAAGCTATTAGAAACAATATTTAAATAGTGCTAATTGATAAGCCTTTTGGTGAAATGGACCCAAAGCGGTTAATTTTGTTAACCCTTGAAAAGGGGTTGTTTTTTGCATTCCACGCCTGTGTCAATGGGAGTCGCAAACACCACGTTGATGTGGGAAACTTAGTGTGAAAGGTCATGAGCTGTGGTGGGCTATGGTGGTGAGAATTTTGGTTGTTGTGCCACAGGCGGGGCTAGGACATAAAATTCATTGGAATGACGATAAGGAAACGACATAGTCTCGACCAGCAGTTTGGTTCTGTTTGCAGCTGATTGGGAGTTGTTGCAGATATTAACAAGCAAGCAGACACGTCAGATCGATTTCTTCTCTCAACAATCAAGGACAAAAAGAAAAAGAAAGTAATTACATTGAGCCGTATGGTGTAAATTGTGAGGATTTCGCATTGAATGGAGAATATATTTACCCTTCCTTTTTCTGATAAGTTTCGCCGAAGATATTTTTTTGCATTTATTATTCAATAATTATTCATTATCTATATTGTTTCTGTTTCCAAAAGAATTTTTGATGCTTGAGGTCTTTTATTTATATAACTAAGGACGAAGACGATCGGCGCTTTAACGATGGACTTTTTATAGAGGATGTTTAAGGAGGGTGATGTAAATATTTGCGGCATGGGTTTATATAATAGGGCATAACATTTTATATTGATAATCGAGCACTTTGAGGGAGAAATTTGGAGGATCGACCGATGTTAACGTGTTGTATGAGTGTTGGATGTATATATAATATACGATTGTAACGATAATTAAGTTAGATTTCATTTGATAAATATGTTATATGGAATTATATTATTTTTTTTAAATGTTTTACGAATGGAGGGATTTGAAACAATTTTTTTTACTTTAATTGGTGATAATAATTTAAAAAATATTCGTATCGATATTTATTTATTGATAGAATTGATGGAAAAATAATTGTTATATTTATACCCTGGGAGTTAAAGACCATTAAAACAATGGTTGATCTGGTTTTTGTATTGTAAAATCCTTAGTTGATTGGGTAAAGCCTATTAAATTAATGGTTGTTGGAAGCCTAGGGTATATTTATAGTAGTAATTTTATTGTTTTATGTTTAAATATATATATAATATATTTGATTTTTTAATTGATATTTAACGGATATATATAGAAGATATTGATTTTAAACGGGTACGAAGAGTATCGAATGATTGTATTGATTTGTTGGCGTTGGGATAGGTTTTTTTTTTTTTTTTTCCGGATCGTGAATTTAAACGAATGATTATTGTATATAATTATGAATTCGATTGTTTGCTTTATAATTTGAGAGGAGGGAGACACGAAAGGTAGGATAGCGGGAAGAGAAGAGAACGCGAGAGGTAGGAACGAAAATGTAATGTTCGACATGGTGATTTATTTCCTTGGAGGCGATTTTTCGTAAATATATGTTTATTTGTAATTTAAATATGTGTTCTCGAAAATAAACCGATGGGGAATTAACACTCGACTTTAAAAGCCGTTGGATGATTGACGCATTCCTTTGGACCCGATTTCCTCCTCCACTTCTTACGTATTATTTCTACCCCCGCGGCATTCCTACCCACCAGGTGCCGGCACCTCGTTGATAGGATTCTGTGTCCACCTGGACGGACCGGAAGTTGAAGTTAAGCGAAGCTCCGACTTTTTTAGGAAAGCAAATTTGCCCCATGGCTTAGAGGCTTACGAAGACGTTCTCTAGGAGAGAATTGACGTGCTTTAGAAAACAAACTCTAGGTATGTATTCCCTCGGGGAACACTTTTCGTGATTAGAATTTTATATGCTTTCTTTCTAAATGTTTAAGAGGGTTTCAACTATCCTGAAATTATGAGAGGCTCACAAAGACGTTCTCTAGGAGAGAATTGATTTTAGAGGGGGGGAGGGGGGGGGGTCTGTATTGAAAAATCAATTCGAGGGGGGGAGATCTGAATTGAGCGGTCAATTATTAAACCCGGACGTCCTAACACTTGCTTCGCAAGACAAATTCAAGATATCCCCTAAAGGGCTACCTTTCGTGATATTAGGTATTCGGAGTGTTGTATAATATTTGCTTTTGGATTTGAATAATTTTTTGGAAAAGAATTTCGTAGTTTTGCAAAAAAAAAACGAAATAAATACCGAAAGAGGAATATTTAGTGGCTTGCTAATAATTTTTTGAAAAGGAATTGGAAAGTTCTAGCATTGGCAATTGCAGAGGATTGTGTATCGTGAGCCTAGTCGGGTGTATTTGTAAGTGGGATCCCCACAAACCCAAGTATGTGGTTGGGTATTTATTGGCAGTGGAGAGGCGCTTTCCAGAGGTTTGAGGCGGCTTCTATAGCATCGAGAGAGCTTTTAGTTTTTAGATTGCAATATTCGATCCTCTATACCATATTTATGAGGCTTACGCCTGACAGCCGGGCGTAATTTCTAGTTCTTAGTATTACTGCCAGGAGCTATTAGTAGGGTCTTGTTACCAGTAGCTTCTTGTTTTCAGTATCAATGCCAGGAGCTATCAGTAGCGTTTTGTTGCTTCTTGGTCTTAGTATCAATGCCAGGAGCTATTAGTATCGTCTTGTTATTAGTGGCTTCTTATTCGTAGTATTCATGCCAGGGGCTATTAGTATCGTCTTGTTACTAGTGCTTTCTTATTCTTAATATGAATGCCAGGAAAATGTCTTCTTACTAGTAACTTCTAGACAGAGACAGAGGACCCAGCCCTGCACAGACCCAAACCCATGGGCCTATGTTGCCACATCTTGAGGCAGTCTTGGCCGTGTTTTCCATATCCTAGGTTGGGTCAGTGTGGCTATGTGTGCCATATCTGGGACAATGTTGGGCCCTTTGAGGGCCTCTGTCAAATCATCTTAGAGTATATATTCCGCCTTTACTGTCAGCACCTACCCAACACCCACGAAATGTCGATTGAGCCTGTCCGCGCGGCACGCATAACCGACACCACCGGCACCCTGTTAGGCGAAAGTCGTGGCCGCCGAAGGCCACGAAACACTGTAAAAAACAATGTTTTTTGCATATCCTGCCCAAAAAACCCGGATTCGGGCAGGGGTCGAGCGGGGATTGACTAGGATTTGAACGCTATTGTTCAAGAGGCTTCCCATATTTTTCCTGCATCTGGCTTCTATTTTTCAGCGACGACTGTGCTTTTTGTGTGGCAAATTTCGTTTCAGGCTTTCTATCGATAGAGCTTTGTTCGCGACCCGTTGCTTCTGTGTTCGCAACCGTTCGCAACCGTCCACAGTAGAGCGCCAACGCGCTACCTTTGGGGAAATTTTTGCAAGTGACTTTTCTTGGATGTGTTACGTGTCAGTTTACGCCGCTATTCCATTGTGATTTGCATGAAAAAGGACATGTCGCGCAAGAAGCGTGATGCATTTCGCTGCACAGGCGCAGCGTTTTGTGAGATCCGTACTTTGCTACGCAGTTCCATTGGCCTTTGGAGAGTCGTGTTTTTGGGATGTTGGATGTGGCCGTGCCATTGGGACTTGCGTTTGAGGGCGTGGCATCGAAACTTTGTTTTCGTGACACGTCTCATCTGAAATGCCGATTTTGGACTCTGGGGGTGTGTTCAGAGTTCAGAACGGGTCGAAATCATTCCAAACGTGTGGTTTGGTGCAATTTTTGTTGAAGCTCACGTGAGATGACATTGTCACTTGTCGTGGCAGTTGCAGGACTTGGTGCGGGTTTTGAGGTGAAAGTGTGATTTTCGTGGCAGGCGCAGGGAATCATGAGGTTGCATTTCGTGATGGGCGCAGTATTTTGAGGTGTGGAAGTGGGATTTTCGTGGTGTACGTAGGGAATCATGAGGTTGTGATGTATGACAGAGGTGACATTTCGTGACAGGCGCCGTACTTTATGTGCGTGAAACGTATGGATGCAGAAAGATTCGCGGCCGGTGCAGGGAAAGGCTGTCAATTGTGGTACAGGTGAATGTCGTTGGCGTTTGAATGGGTGTCGTTTGGAGGGACTGGTGTGAGGCAAAGAAGTGCAAGGTGGAAGATAAAGAGCCTGTCTCCATCATGCCGCATTCTCGGAAACCGTTCCATCCAAGCTGCCAAATATGATCCTGCTTTCAATTGAAGAAAGACAGGCTCTAAGAAGAACGCAGGCAAGAGAAAGGCCAAAGGCAAAAACCCACAAGAGTGTCCCACAAAATTTTCCCACAAGAGTGGCCCACAAGAGAGTCCCTCAAAGAGTTTCCCACAAGAGTGTCCAACAAGAGTGTCCGACAAGGTGAACCGAAGAGAACAAGCGCCGTGCCCACGTTGTTCACGTAATGCATGAGCGCGCGCAAGCACAGGTTGGAAACAAGTTGCTAGGCTCAGTATATGGTCCAGGATATACCATGCATTGCAACTTGAAGTTGTTTGATTGTCTGTTGAGATTGCCACACTCTGCCACTGGTTCTTTGTGCTGCAGCGCAGGCTCAGAGAAGGCTTCATGGACAGGCAGTGCCGTGTCATTCACTGTGAAGCTCAACACAGAGGACTTGCACAAGAATCGAGAAACACCAAGCGCATTCATTTGCCAGCTGGGCGTAGTTGATTCCAGGCTTCCTCTCAACCTGACAGCGCAGAAAGGTGCGTGGAACACCAGACCCAGAAGCTGCGGTGAACAAGTTTTTTACCTGTGCATATATCAGGG